AATAATAATAATCAACTAATAATATTTATATTGTAAATAATTATTTTAATAATAAAGAAAGAAATAAAGAAAAAGAAAAATACTCAAACAATCTTGTGGAAGAGTAATAAATATAAAAATAAAACGAATTTGGCTTATATTTCAACAACAAATATCGTCTATATATTTCGAATTCTTTACCCTTCAAAACTCAGCTAGATTTCAATAAAACACAGTGGCATACTTTAGATCTTACAAAAAGCAGTTTAAATTTCATTCAAATTTGAACATAAGTTAAATGAAATATATAAGGTCAATTATCTGTTCTTATGTTTTTCATCTTTTTAGTTTCAAAATTTCTGAATAATTCTATTTAATATTGCATAAAGTTCGACTCTTTCTGACACATATCAAAGTCATTTAATAATTTAATATAATAGGGACATGAAAACGAATTTTTTCAACCTTTTTATAGTTCAACAAATACCCAATTTGCGATAAAATATTAAATGAAACGATATTCCAGTCTATTATGTCATTTTGTAGATAAACGCAGAATCAACAACAATCATCTTATGGTAGATAACTGCTCAGCTATGGTTTGTCGGTTTCTTATCGTCTCGTTCTTTCGCTGTCACTGTCGTGTACTATTCATTGTGCAGTCATTTGTGACTAGTTTCATCTGTCTCTCGCGTATATGCTACTCGTCTCTTTCATTAAAATGTCAAAAAATATATTAGAAATATGAATTCTCTGTTACAAACTTAGTTAGGTTTGACAGCAACAACGATAAACAAAAGAGAATAAAAGTTATTTCTTTAAAGATTTTAATCGAGCTATGATAGAAATAAACTTCAATTTTGTGATGTATGACTTTATTGATCACAATCAAACGTATCTGATGGAATATAATATTTTATATGTCTCCAAAAAGAGGTTCTCTTGTTCTTCGCTTTTAATCTTTTTTATTTTTCCTTATTCAGATAACCCCTCTTGATTAATTATGAATAATTTGACATGACGTTATTTTTCTTTTTGATCAGCCCAGACGATTCATGATCATATAATAAACTTCGATATGTTTGCTTATATCGTTTTTTCTTGTATTATCACATGTATGTCATCCAAGCCAACATGACATACGTAGGCATATTTAGCTTCGGATTCTTTTTTTCTTCTATTCACCTGAATAGATTGTGTAGATCAATGTATCAAAATATAAACGAGATCGTATAAAAAGCAATTATTATGCTTATTTAGAGGTTGCTTTTTTTCTGAAGCATACATACAATCGTAATAGCAAATTGTATACAATATGAATGTCTCAAAATGTTTCCAACATCATTTTATATTAATCGAACAACTACCCAATGAACTTTCTCTTGAAACTTTTGATTATCTGAACGGTGTGGACATTGCCTATGCAATTTCACAATTAAACGATCGTTTTCAACATTTACTTATCAAATATGTTAATACATTTGATTTCAAGTCTATAAATAAAGTTAAATTTGATTATGTTACTCAACATTCATCAAATGACATTAATCAAGCCGTGGCTTCTTTTTCTACTCCATTCTATTTAGTAGAAAAGCGTGGGTTCACCCGATGTGATTCAAATAATCGATACTCTGCATTGGGCATTTTTTATACATTGCCTTTTGCATTTGAAGAAATGCGCTTGGATATGAATTCATGTGAAATGAGTACATCGACTTTAGTTTCGAGCAATATTGATCAAAAAAAGTATGAGTCGTGTAAAAAAGTTGAATCATTAGTATTTTATGAACAATATGAAATACCCTGTCAAAGTTTTCTTACATTCAACATTGTTCGATTATGATTCTGTATAATAATCTTCCTACAAGTTGTTATTTTCTATTAAAGCATTTACGTCATATGGAGTTTCAAAGAAATCTACCAATGCCGACAATTGATTATGCAGATTTTCTTACGAAGGCACCTCAACTTCAATCATTAACATTAATTATTTCAGTTTTAATAAAATTAACAGATTCATTTAAGAATAAGACTGTTTGTGATCAATTATCAAAACGAATTCAATCATTAATTATATCTGATTGTTTGTCAAATCATAACTATGACGAAAATATGGATCACACCCATATTCTTACTAATGTTGTTCGTATGTTTGATAATACATGCAAACACTAATCATTAAATCTAACAACAATCCGCAAAATTTTTTTACCGATTTTAAGAAATATGAAACAATTGCCAAGCTCATACATACATTCTTCTTCTTTGCGTAGTAAATTGTAGATTCCAGCAATATCTTGGTCTCAACAATCGACATCAACAATTAATTCATCCGATATTATCTATATTCTCGATAATGTTAATTTTTACGTATGGTTTGGGAAACTATCATAGTAGAGAATATGAAAAATGTTGAAAATACTTTTACGAGTAAAAAAGAAATCTGTGACTTGTCATATATTATGTGTAACACATTTAGATATCATTGTAACTTGTTTTATGATAATACTAAAAAAAGTATGATATTATAATATATAAACAAATTTTACTTTCTCTCTAGATGTCACTAATTTCAAGAATAATTCTATATACAGTATGATAGAGGTCGATGTTGTAGGAAAATGACGTTGAAGAGAAATTGAGACAGAGTAAACAGCTGATCGTATTTCGCAATGTAACTTGAAAAAGCAAAACACGTATAGAAAGAAAGATAGAAAGGTTTCATATGAATCAAACAAGAAAAGTTCTCGAACTTTCATTCTATTTCGTTTCGTCGTAATCTTTGATTCATTTGTCAATAAAACTATGATTAATGAAATTGTTGCTAAATCAGAATGTAGGCAGTTGAATTCGTCGATAATTATCGACACATTTAGAATATTCAAATCAATAATTTCTACTATAACTAAACATTCAAATCTGATGAAAATTCTTTTCGTTTTTAGATATATACTTCAAAGTATAATCTACGACATAATAGTAGTAAAATAATGGAAGCTGATCCAGATGAACTTTTGGCTTGGCTTAAAGGAGATGGAAGTAGTGAACGTGATCTTCAAATGATTGCACTTGAGCAATTATGTAAGTTTAATAATGAACGAATCATGTGATAATTTACTTTCGTAGTAATATCAATTTAACTATATTCTATTAGTTCATTCAATAAAACGAGAAATAAAAAATATTGAAAAAAATTTTCCTATTTTCGAATATTTTTTGTTTTTAGGTATGCTAGTCTTAATGAGTGATAATATTGATCGATGTTTTGAACAGTATGTATTTATTAAAAGATATTTATTTATTTGCTTATATTTTGATTTTGTTCTAGGTATAAACCTCAACTTTTCCTTCCAGGTTAATTTTTAAATAAGAAAACAAAGTGAAAATATTTTCTTCTAAATTTTTATCTTAATTTTTTATTTAAGCTCTCTGTGATATATTCAATGATCCATTAGTTCCAACACATATTCTTGAAGTAACAGCACGTGCATTAACATATTTTCTTGATGTATCTGTTGATTGTGCAAAAAAAATTACTTCACATTCAACAGTTATACGTTCAATGTGTAATTGTTTACAAGTTGTTGATATTGAAGATCGTACAAATAAAGATTTAGCTGAACAAATAATAAAAGTATTTGAACGTTTATGTTTACGAGAAGCATCAAGTATATATGAACAAGATGGTCTTCGTTATGTAATTGAATTTATTAATAATTGTTATTCTGTTATACATAAAGATTCCTTACAATCAGCTTTAAATGTTGTTGTTAAATTAATTGGAAAAATAGATCCACAAAATTCTTCAACACTTGATCAAACAATTGAATCATTATCAAATTTACTTTTACATGATGATCCATTTGTAGCTGATAATGCATTGAGATGTTTTGCAACATTAGCTGATAGGTTTATTTAGAATTTATTCAATTTAGATTTATTTATTTTTTTATTATTTTATTTAAATAGATTTTCAAGAAAAAATGTTGATCCTGAACCATTAATGCGTTATTGTCTAAAAGATGTTCTTCTTAGATCATTACATCATGTGTCAAAAACATCAACAGATGCAACAGGAACACATAGTGTATCGAATGTACGTGGTATTATAACAAATCTTTCAGTTGTTACAGGTTTATTATCGACACTTTGTCGTGGTAGTGCAAAAGTAACATATGATTTACTTCGTTCGGATCTTCCAGATGCACTTGAATCAGCTTTATGTAATGGGGATGAACGATGCGTTTTGGATATAATGCGATTTCTTGATTTGCTTATTGGGTTACTCTTCGAAGGTTAGATTTGATATTTAAAATGTTAATCCTGTTTTTTTTTTAATATAAAGAATAGAAATTCATCGAATCTAAAAGCTTGAACATAGAAAAAACTATGTTGTCAAGAGAAGGAAAACTTTATGAGTACTTGTTGAAGTTGATAAAAGAGTACTAAAGTTATGTTTAAATATGATACTTTATATTTCTGACTCAAACTCGAAGTAAAAGAATTACAGGTAATCTTGGATAGTTGCTAAGAGTACTGAGAAGCAGAGGCTTTTTATTAAGGTAATTTTTGACAGAAACTCCTCAAATATTTTCTTCCGGTTTGAATGATTGCTTTCCTATAGATACAACATAGTTTTCTAATAAAATTTCTAAAAAATATTTGGTTTTCTATTTAGGTTTGACTAAGTTATCAAATTTTTCGTATGTCTACTTTCTAGATAGAGACCTCAAGTTTTCGGAAAATTCATGTTGTATACAACATCTATGGAAAAAAGTTTATATCTTGAAAAGACTTCATACAAAACTTTTGAATTTTTTTTTATAGAAATTAGTCTATTTTACTTCTTTATATGAACAAAATTGCAGATCAAAATGTGAAAACATGATTTTGTCGAAAGCCTGGAACTTCTAGAAAATAATTCAATAGTTTCCTCAAATCTCAATATGAGTCTAAATCCTTCAAGTTAGAAGGGAACATATAAGAAGATATCCTCTACGAATAGTCAAGATCTAGTTATAAAAGATTTTGAATGATTCTAAACACATATCCAGAGAGATTATTCAATACCTACAGTCCAAAGTCTAAAACCTTCATATCATTACTTGAGATTTGTATAGAATTTCTTTGATCTCATGTTGATGATACGATACTAATCTGAATTTACAAAAATAAAAACTAGAATTCTTTCCTACAAAATATCTATAACTTTCATATTATAATCATTCACCAAAGAAAAACAATAACTTTTTAGGACGTCAAACACTTGTTCGTTCTGGAAATATTTCACGTACAACAAATCCTTCAATTCCAACAAATGAATCATTACAAAGTTCATCATCAACATCAACTACAAATACAACACCATCTGATCGTTCACAACAACAAATAATTGAATATATTCGTTCACGTGATGTTCAAGCATTTATAAATTATATTGAAGAAAATAATATTGATATTAATTATACTGATCATGTTGGTCAAACAATGCTTAATTGGGTATCAGCATTTGGTACACGTGAAATGGTTGAATATTTATGTCGACATGGTGCTGATGTTAATCGTGGTCAACGTTCATCATCATTACATTATGCTGCTTGTTTTGGACGTCCACCAATTGTTCGTATATTATTAAAATATGGTGCTAATATTGATTTACGCGATGAAGATGGTCGAACAGCATTAGATAAAGCACGTGAAAGACAAGATGATAGTCATCAAGAAGTTATTGATATACTTCAATCATCACATGAATGGAATGATACAAAACAATCATCAATAAATAATTCAATAACAGAACAAACAAAAGATAATATTGAAATACAACTAATTTATTTAGAACGTTTATTAGTAATATTTTGTCAATTATATCAAAATACAATGATATTAACAATAAAACGTTGTACATTACGTTTAATATCAAAATTATTACAATATTCAACAATTGAACAAATACAAAAATTAAATATATTAACAAATGTATTTGAATTATTATCAACAATAATAAATACAAATGAAGATGATGATGATACATCAAATCTTGTTTTATTAATAATTAAAAATTTATTTGAAAAAGATCGATATTTATTTCTTGAACAATTTCAATATTTAGGTTTAATATCGAAAATAACAACATTAGCATTATCACATGATATTAAAAATGATAATTCTCAACAATTATTAAATATAAATATTATATCTATTGATACAAAAGATATACTTTGTTATAGACCATATGTATGGAATGAATATAATTTTTTACGTAATCGCGAATGTTTATATGTATGGAATAATTTTATTGTTATTGAATTATCAATGGGTTCAAATGGTTGGTTTAGATATTTTGCTAATAATTCTTTATCAACAATGTATTCATCAGGTTCATATATATATATTTATTTATTTAGTTTTTTCTCTTTTGTATTCATTTTAAATAATTCTTTTTTCGTAGGAAGTCCTGAAACAAATATTGATACAGATGAAAATCGTCATGAATTTATTGAAAAATTTCAACGATTAAAACAACAAGTTCTTGATGGTATTGGACAAGAAAAAGATACTGAAAAACAAAATATGATTATTGCAAGAACTATTTTTACATCAGATACTTCCAATGAACGAATAATTACTATTGGAAATTGGACAATTCAATGTAATGGACCTACACAAATTCAAATTCATAATATTGAAGGCGAACAGGTTAGATTAAACGAAGAGAAAAAAAAACAAGGTTTTTACTCAAAATTACATAAATTAATGGATAAAAGTCTTCATCCCATCAGGTTTCAGCTACAATTCGTATTGGAGATATAAGATATGTATATACCTCACCAAGAATATAAATCAAAGACAAATTCATAATTTTGAAAAGGAAGTTTTCACAATTCTACTGGTTTGAAAATAAAACCTATCTACTATCATTTGAAAATTATAACTCGCGAGAGAAACTCTCCAAATGATAAATCGCTTTCGAAGAGAGACTATATGCGCCAGTGTCCGACTCGGGTCGGGTGAAGGCACTAAGAGTTGACCGATTTCGAACTTTTTATAAGACAAGCGGGAATTTCAGATGAGATAATAGTTTCTTTGTTTCGAATATTAAGAGAGGTTATATAGATACACTGAAAAGATTGTTAACCTGTGAAAAAAAACTCGTTTTTCTGGACCAAAAAAATATCTTCGACCTCCGGTCGGATCGGGTTAAGTTACGAAAAATTGATTCATGTTGGAAACTGATATACATTATGTATATCGAAATTAGTTATGAATATCGTGAAGAGGGTTCGTGTAGTTAAAAGGTGAGTTCTGAATTTCTACTTGAAGTATTACAAAAAATGAATGTTTTAGATCTTATGGCTGTTTCTATCCCAAGATACAATTATAGTAATAGACTACCTTTTACATTGCTCATATATAAACCGACAGGTTTAATGCTCTTATTTCTGGATATAAGTAAAACAGAAGACATGAAAGTTTTATAATAAACTACTCTGGCGTTAAGGTCTATCTTTATGGAAAGTTGTAAGTCGAAATTGGAAAATCAGTTTTCTATTGTTCCTACGTGCTTTAAAAAAATATACTGTAAAAGTGCAGTATCTCAGCAGCAATAAGCTAAAGAGACAAAATTTTTTCAAGGTATTCATATATTATTTAGTTCTGCCTAGTTCTTAACTCAAAAGTGATTTATCAGTTGGATCTACTCAGCTCAAACTTTTAGAAAATTGTTGCCAGTAGTTCAATATTTTATCTCGAAGTTTGAGAAAAGGATCTTTTATTAACGAGAAATACCATGCCGATGATTACCATATGAATAATAAATACTAAGAGAATTTCAGTAATAGCAATTTTCTATTAAATGAATTCATCTTCTAAGTGAACCATGATCATAGACAGAATTCTATTTTTTCGTTAGAATATCAAGAATTAACCATGTATTTGACAAAAAGCATTTTTCAAGTTACAAAAACTTGATGCAAAAATAAATATCATTAATCATAGTTCTCGATACATTTAAGCAATCGAGATGTGGTTTTGTTGCTGATTTTCATACTTGGTAAAGTGTGTATACATTAATTTACAGATCTCCATTAAATAGGACAACTCAAGTTCGGCGAGTTAAAGACCTTTGTCGATTACTATATCTGTAGAATTTATGGAAAAGGCTTGAATAGAATTCATTGAATTTAAAGTTTCGTAATCATTGTAACCAACGATAGACTTGTTTGTATATATGAAAACTAATGAAACTTTTTACGCAACATGAAAGAATTCAGTTCAATGTTCTATATAGTTTTCGGATATAAAATATCGAAGACAAGACTGTAAAATAACAAAATTTAGTGACTAAAAGTTTATAGTTTCTGAGTCGAAGTAGTAACAGAGAATTTTGAAAGAATAATCAATGATTTTTCTACACGTTTATATTTATTAAATTTTAGTATATTTAGAATAAGAAGTTAAGCTATGAACAAAATATTCATACCAACAATAAACATCAGTCATATTAATCAAACAGATAAAAGTATTTTTGTAATAAATAATTTAGGAATTGTAGAATTTTTTAATGCTTATTTAACGAATAGAAGTATAATATTTGTAGTTCATAATTGAAATCTTTTCATTGAAATATTCAATATTTTAATTTCTTTTTTTTTTTTATTCAAGGCAACTATTCTTGAACATGGTCAATCAGGTTTTATATTTGAATCAAATCGTCATACACGTCATAAACATGAAGTTGATATACCATTAAATAATGATTTTTCTATCCCATGGTCAACAATTGAAACATTAACATCATCAAATAATTCAACAACAGTTAGAGTTAATAAAAATAAACAAGATCAAACAAAACAACGTACAAGTGAAATAGCATTATTTATTTATAATGAATATTTAAAAAATTGTTCACCAACAAATTATACACGTTCAATATTAATTGAATTTAAAACACTTGTTAATGATATAAATAATGAATTAAATTTAAATTCAAATGATAATTTAAAAAATTTATTTGAAACATTAAAACAATATATTATTGAAAAAACAAATTTATCTATATATGAATTATCATCATCAGGTTTAGTTTCTGTTTTATTAAAAATTTTTCAAGATATATCTTATCAAAATAATCATTTAACATCAAATGATAATATGTATGAACGTGCAAAATTATTTTGTTCAATATTTCTTTTTGATGAACAATTACAAGCATTTCAAATTCTTATACGTAAACTTATATTAATATTAGAATCAATTGAAAAACTACCATTATTTTTATATGATGCACCATTTAATTATGGTTTACAAATATTTTCAAAACGTTTTCGTTTTCAAATACAATATAAAAATGAACAACAATTATTTACTGATAGAACTGGAAAATCATTAAAAATTGAACCATTAACGACAGTAGGACAATTAAAAACATTTCTTGCATCAATGGTAAATATTTTAAAAGAAAACATGTTCTTGAATTTCTTTTTGTTTCAAACCAAAATTCACTTTTGAAATTAATATTAGTCAAGCATTGATAATCTATAGATTTCGATTGACTTAAAATTTGGATAGTAAGCACGATCCGTGCGCGAGCGAGAAAGAAGAACGAATGATGCATTTTTAGTTCTGATCTAAAAAGAAAAATTATTCAGGCTTCGATCAAAAAAAATTTGGTTCCCTCAGGATCAAGACCATCTTGCTCATATCTATTTTTCAACATATGAGTTGTAACAATATAACATTCGACGCAAGTTTTACATGACAAAAAAAAAAGTATTATTCTCAATTAGAAAGTATTGATCCCGATCCAATGCTGCCCATATCTAATTTTCACATTCTCGATAATCTAAATATGTGGCATCAGTACAATTCTTGCTAAGTGGTTTTAATAGTATAGAAGCTGTTAGTATTACAATCCATGTGGAGTTGATATGTGATTGGTCTTCATATATTCTAAACTAAGGATCTCTGAACGACTTGTTTCAGTTTCGAACTTCTTCTGCATTGATATGTTCACAACGAAAGGTATTATTTGCAATATGTTACAGTGCGTTTGGAACGGAAACTAAAGATAGATATTTTAAATTCAATCTTATGTCATAATAATCTCATAGAATGATTTAGTTCTATGGTTAATATTTTCATAGTCTTTGGAAGAAACGGTTCAAAATATTACGCCAATATTCCTTTTAGATTGTGTTTTACAAAACCATAAGACATTGAAGTTGTTCTAAACAATATTTTCCAACAGAGGTCTATTGACAAACAATGCTTCTTTAATAAAATTATTTTATTAAAAATATTTCCGTTCTGATAAAGGGGCTTCACTGAGATATAAATCACTTTGTATCATCTCCTATGCTGAAATATGTATATCAGAACCAAATTTTTAATATTTGTTTCTGAAGATAAAACGTACGCAAAGTTCTAACATTTTTTTAATACTCAATAGAGCTCTTATAACTAACGAATTTAAACTTATATTAAAATCTATTTATCATTTTGATGAAATTCTCTTGTGAGAACAATTCAATCAAGATTGATTATATTTTAATAGGTTTCAAAACAATGGTACGATCATCCTCATAGTCATCTTGAATTTGTTAAACAATTAAAATCAGATAATCGACAAATATTTACTTATACAAATGAGTTTGATCAAAATGGAATTTTATATTGGATTGGTACTAATGGTAAAACTGTATCCGATTATACAAATCCATGTTCAACTGGACTTATTTCAGGTATGAATTCTATTTTATTTAAACAATCATATTTTATTAATTAATTTTCATTATTTTAGTTAGTTGTTCTGATAATAATTATTCATCTCAACAATTATCTGATTTAATTTCACATATATCATCAATAGATGATCAAGAAGATAATGAAGATATAAATCGTAATTTAAGTTGGATTATAATTGATTTAGGTTTATTTATTATTCCAACACATTTTACATTAAGACATCCAACAGGTGGTTTTACTAATTGGACAAAAAATTTTCTATTTCAAATATCAAAAGATACGATACATTTTCTACCATGTGAAACATCATTAGTTAATGATAGTAATTCACCAACAGCAACATGGATAGTTAAAAATTTAGCTGAAAATTCAACAGGTTTTCGTTATATACGTATTCATCAAAAATCTTCTCGTCATTCAGTTTGTATTTCTGGATTTGAAGTTTATGGACAAGTACTATCCGCTGTTGATATTCGTTCAAGTAAGTTTGTTATTGTTTTTTTTTTAAATATCACGCGGAAAAGTCTATAGAATTGAAGTTACACAGTTTTTTGTGAAAAATAAGTTAACGATAGTTTGGAATGCAAAGTTCAATTTATCATAAAAATAAACTGAGTTAAGAAATGATGCGCCGAATACAATAGAAAATTGTCCTCATTGGATTAATTGGTCGTCATGGCTGAGTGACTACGTTGTTCGACATATATTCATGAAGTTTTGTGTCCAAACCTCAATACCACTAGCAATAGAATGATTCTGAACAAATTACTAACGGTTTTTTGTTTCGAATCACCCGTTCGATAATATGTTGACTACGTTGTGGCATATACTTGCTCTCTTGATGAGTCGTTGTGTATAGAAAGCTTAAGCAGCTGGGTACAAGAAGTTTGTGTCAGGCTGACCTTCTGTTTAGAGCTACAGCTAGTTATAGTCGTAAGGAAAATATCGGACTATTGGATCTACCGCGAAGTAGTTCAAAAGTAGGGATATTCTTCCTTCTTAATGAATTAATTTCTTGTAAATTGAAACTTTATTTAGTATATTTGCATGAAAATATACTTAGTTTACAGGGTTTTCAGTTGAAAATTTTCAAAATTTTAGATCAATGTTATTTCTGAGCTTTTAAAATCCTAAATATCTCATCACAAATCCTCAAAAACGTTTAAAAGTTTCTATCATAGGAAGATTCAGAATTATTTTCTGCAGGGATGAGTGTACATCAAACAAATTTTATCATTTAGATATATTTTTAATAACTAGTGTTCGTGTGTAAACTTTCGATCAGGTCTTCATTATTGTCGAGCAACATTCTCTGACGTCCATGAGGACATTTAATAGTGCATCATAAAATTCATGAATAATGTATATAGAAAGTTATGAATCTTTTCAAAGTCGAGTTCTGGCTCATATTCAAATCTGTTTAGTATTCAGCTTTGAATCTGAATAAACAAGAGCTGATATCAGTCGATATAGGTACATCCTTTCATCTACAGTTAAGATGATATCAAATATTGGTAAAAAAAAACACTCGGATGAAGATTTAATCGATTCCCAGTCTGGAAACTTCGAGTTCACAAAAATGTGAATCGACAGCTTCCTTGATGTGTTTATTTCAAAATTGACTAAACATGAATAATTTATCTGTATTTCTTTTTTGTAGAAACTGAATTGACTCGTTCTCGTTCAACTCGTGATGATACTCGAAATCGATCAACAAATTCTCGAGAAAAACCATCTTATAGTCATTCTTATTCGACATCATCTGCTAGTACACGTACAAGTAAAATGCAATCACATATTCTTCGACGTTTAGCAAGTATGAGTACATCAAATACTTCGAATAGATCAAATGATTCGACAAATGATAATCGATCTGAACAATCAACACTAAGTCAAATTTTAATTGATCTTTCATCAATTCCAACAGATTTATCAAGTGGTAAATATCATTAAAATATATAATTTCATCGAAAAATTTTATTTTATTTTATGTTTTTGTCAAGTTCTTGAATCAAATGATCCCGAACGTTTACGATTAGCCATTGAAGAAGCTCTTACACATTTAACTAGTGATAAAACATTAAATGAAAATACAAATTTACTTAATTTAATTTCACAACGTAAAAGTATTTCAACACCAGATATAAGTAATGGTGAAATAACATTTTCAGTTTCAACAACTGAACAAGCATCAAGTGCTGATAATCTTTTTCCATCCTCTAATGTTACAGATCATGTTCTTGATGTAAATCAATCATATTTTTATTTTATTTTTATTGAATTTTCTTTTTTTGTTTTGCTTCATGTTTAGCTTATGGAAGGACTTTCTGATCAAATATCTCAACAACACGATGTTCTTGTTGAAAAAACACAAACTCAATCGAAAACATCACTTGGTTCATCAACATTATCAGAATGTGATCTTATACCAATGCATTCAGATACAACAAATACTAATAGTCGATTGGAACTTGAAGAATTTCATGATGAAATACTTATTGTTTCAAAAGGTTTGCTTTTGTAGAAAGAAAATTTCATTATATATTGTTCAGTTTTAGATGAAGCAAATAATAATTCTTCAACAAGTCAATTAACACAATCGATGAGTAATAATACTACAGAATCAAGTATGATTAAAAAATAATAAGACCTGTTATGAGAAAACTACATAATATCTGAGATACAAGATCAATAACTAGAGCCTATTGGGTTCGAATCCGAAAATTTTGAATCCAATGAACTCGCAGTTTAATGGATCTATAAATTCTACTATACATCTTACCATAAAACGAAAGGATTTATACTGAGAGTGAGAGTGAGAACAACGCCTAGGACTGACGACCAAATGAGGATACGATCTCACACTTCGGAATTATGTCTTTCGTTTAGTGCAATTGAAATTTATTATCTGCTATCGATAGATTATTTTAAATAAATTCAGAAAAAAATAACTCTCATAAACCCTTTCAAAAGCTGATTGAAAATTAAAAAAAGCATATGGAAAAACTCTTTGTTATGTTGTGCAATCTCAGAATTCTCAACAATATCTGAAGATTAGGAATGCTCTGTCTTATGTACAGCTTCACACTAGCCTGAACATGTACATATAGACTAAAGGTGAATACATGATAAAACTATGGTAGCTTTAGATTGATTTCGACTTTTTCAGTTGAGAAAACTATTGCAAGAAAACAGTTGAATTTTATAATAAAAAAAGGACTGCAGATTTTCTGAGTCGAAGAATACGAATCTACTATAGGTTTGTCGAAGTTCTTTAGTTCGATTTTCTCATTCGAGAAAGATTTCATTCTAACGATTTAATACTGTTTTATAAAATTCAGTTATTTTCTTGAAGTAGATTCTCTCCGATCGAAATGAATCTACAATCATCGTTATACTGTACGTGTGAGCCTAGACTAATGCAATGCACCCGCCTGAGACCAGTGATCACCATTGCATCTTTAGTTCTGCTACATCACTCATTTCGATTTTCAATAAATTCTATAGATTCCTATGATGATATTAATATTTCACTAATTTTCAAGTTTTAATAATAAAAATTACGATTAAAACTTAACATTCAATCATTTTCTTATCTTCTAGTAGAACTTCTATGTGCTGCTACCGAAGAAAACAATAAGAAAAATGCCACCAATGAATGTTCTGAGCAACGAATTTCATTGTATGTATAATTAATTTCCTTCTCATTTTAATTCTATTTTATTTTTTTCATCTTTCTCTTTCCCCTCCCCCTTCGTAAAATAGATCAGAAAATGATACGAATTCAAGTGTTCCAAATATTTCATCATTAAATATTTTAACAACATCATCAACAGCAATAAATATAGCTGATATACCAATTATTGATGATGAAACAATTCGAATTGAAGAATCAGCAAATTTATCTGATCAACAACGAAAACAAACTGAAGAAACAACAACAACAGATGATGAAGATGATGAACAAACATTATTAAAATGTCTTAAATTAACTAGTGAACAAATCGAAGCACCTGTTGAAGAAGATGAAGATGAAGATGAAGACGAAGAACAACAAGATGAAGTAAATATATTTCTAAATAAAAAAAAAAAAAATTATTTCTTAAAATTTCATTATTTTTAGGAAGAAGAAGAATATAATGAAGAATTACAAGAACAACTTCATGGTCAACAACAAGAAATAACACATCGAAATTGGGATGATGATTTTGTTTTAAAAAGACAACTTTCTGGTAAATACTTATATATTAGAATAGAAAAATTTTACTTTATTTTTTCTTTTCTTTTAGTTTTACTTCCAGCATTTGATGGTCGACCAGGTCGAACAAATATTAATGCAACACAAGATATTCCTGTACCAACAACAATGGCACCAAAAGAAGGTAATGTACAGGGCGACTCAAAAGTCATTGAGACAGTTTTTGATGGCTCCTCCTCTTTCCAATAGTAGAAACTGCTCAGTGACTTTTTTGGCCCTATGGTATTAAACTACTTTAAATAAAAAAAATCGTTTTTCTTTTATTTTAGAAACTTCAACTAAACGAAGATCAAATGCAGATGCATTAACTGCTGCTAATATGACATTATATATTCGAGGACCATCACCAACTATAACAGGAGTTTGTATTTGATTATATATATATATATTTTTTTTTTAATTTCTATATTAAATTGTTTAGTTAAAAGATACTGATATTGAAATGGATGATCCCGATGCAACGATTTTTAAATATGTTCAACAATTAATTAATCCATTTCCATCGTCACAACGAAATGAACGTATTAAACGAATTTTTGAACCTACATATACGTAAGAATAGACTATTTTTATCTTTAAAATATTAATCATTTCATAACAAAAAAAAAGAAAAAGTTTTCTATCTTGTCTATATGACTATTCAGATTTGTGTAGAAGTTCTAAAACAATTTTACAAAAATTGAAATAGAATAAGAGCAAAGTTTAACCTTTTGGTTACGAGGCCCATACATATATATACATGGGATAAGCTTTTATGCATATTATAACTTATAACATCTTCTCTTTTTCCCTTATGCTTTTAATATCACAGCATGATACTAGTGAAAATCTATGACACGTAGAAAAGAAGAAATTGTGGATTTAAAGGCTTATGAGAAATCATAGATTATCTATATTTCAAATCGTTCAAAGCGTTGTGAACTCTGATAGAAATCTGTAGAATTGCGTATGATTCTAGAACAATTGTCGTCCTAGACAGTTGCGATTACTACTAAACCTCTGATCTTATCGAAGATCAGACATTGAATTTGTTTAGATCTATATTATGATAAGGCACAACAAGATTATTCATGGAACTACGCACAAGATTTTACAAAGTTTAGGATAATTATAAAAGTACAGAAATTGATAGTGTTGGTTGAAGTCTAACGAAATTTGCTGCTTCTCTCTGATGTGTGTGCCTCAATTTCTTATTTCTATTGGTAAATCTATATGTGTTGTTATCATTGTAAAAACCCCATAACCAAAGGGTTAAGAGGACCTCCTCCCTCTGTTTTAGTCGTTTTTGGTTCTCCGGATGTGGGTATGAGTTTTGATGATGAGAACATCCACATACACCGATAGCCATACCCTTATATAATTCAGCTATCTTATTGAAGCAGACCTAGGCCGACTGAAAAAAGTGCAAACAAATCTAAGGTCACCATGGTTTTCTCATGCGCTTATTATCTTTATCGTAATTCTATACGTACATATCTAAGACTAATGTAGCCCTAACTTCTTGAAACTTCAAGTCCAAAGAATCTTCACTGTTTTCCTTCGTGTAATCCCCTCAAAATATTTTCATGTCAAGTTTGATTTGGTATCAGAGATGTTCATTGCAGCTGAAAACTTGTTACGCCGCAATAAACTATTTAAAATATTATGAGTTTTACTACTGTAATTGTACAGAACTAAAACTATTGTTACTAATCCATTAAGATCATTATTTCTCAGATGATAAACATCTTTCTATTGTGTTTCTCTTCTTTAATTTCATCATTTTGACATTGAAATTATTTTATTCATTCATTTGAATATCGATCTTTTATTTTTAGAATTATTTATACGGAAAAATCTCATGAACAATCAAAATCAAATGTAATAATAATGATTTTATTTGTTTTCTTTCTTTCTTTTTTTTTTTGAACTTTCAAAAATTCACTTTATTTATTCTCTAGACAACTCAATTGAAAGATGAAAATATTTTTAATTCATCGAATGATCCACAAGATATTTGTATAATCGAAGATATTCTTAAATTACTTCGTCAATTATATTATTTATCTACAAATTATATTCAAACAAATCCACATTTGAATGAAAATTTTTCAATTGATAATTATTTTTATTCCAAAAAATTAAATAATAAATTATTACAACAAATACAAGATTCAATTCTTATAGCATCATCAAGTTTACCATCATGGACATCATGGTTAATACATTCCTATAAATTTTTATATCCATTTGAAACACGTCAATTATATTTTCGTACAACAAGTTTTGGTACATCACGTTCTATAGTATGGTTACAAGAACGACGTGAAGAATTAGTACGTACAATACGTAATACAAATCATTCACGTTCACGTTTATTAAATGAAAATTCTCTACATGATTTTCGTTTTGGTCGTTTAAAAATTGATCGTGCTGTTGCTATTGATCGTGAAAATATTTTACATGATGCTATGAATTTATTTCATTATCATGCTAAATTAAAATCAAAATTAGAAATACAATTTTTAAATGAAGAAGGAACTGGTGATGGACCAACATTAGAATTTTATGCATTAATATCAAATGATTTACAAAAATATAATTTAGGTTTATGGTGGAATCATGATGATTATGAACATCATCAAACAGATTATGTTAGAAAATTAGAAGGTCTTTTTCCAGCACCATATCCACAAGATCATCAACAATTAAATGATGTTTGTAATTATTTTTCATTAATGGGTATTTTATTTGCTAAATGTTTATTAGATAAATATTTAATTGATATGCCATTATCAATATCATTTTTTAAACTTTTATGTATGACATCAATATCAAATGATATATGGTATGATGGTATACTTGATTTAAACGATTTAATTATGATTGAACCATCACGAGGAAAATTTTATAAAAACCTTTTTGAATTAATTGAAAAACGAAATAAAATTCTTAATGATGATAATAAAACAAATGAAGAAAAACATATTCAATGTCAATTATTAAAAATTGAAAATGATTTACATGAACCTGTTGATATGGAACATTTATGGTTTGTATTCAAAGATTTCCATTGTTGGTTTTTATTTTTTCTATTATTTATATTTAGTTTAACTTTTGTTTATTCACCACCATCGGATACTTATGGATATCGATCAGTTGAATTGATTCCAAATGGATCACATATGGTAAGAATACAAGGGAGAAGCATAAAAGATCAAATCGACTCATTAGTACTTTTCTTGGCCACTTTAAATAAATCATATATCGACAGGAAGAGCAGCTTGAGTAGAGCTCATCGTGTCCAATAGTCTCTGAACTCTGACCATTAGCCAGATCCGATAGACTCTCATGTTTTGGTACTAATTTCATGAGATTTTGATCGAATATTGAAATTTAAACGCTGTCAATAAAGTAATTCATTTTAGATTATTATTCTAATAATCTATCGTTTCATAGTGGATTCAATTTGAGAATAAGCAGACAGGACAAAATTTTACTGAAAGTATGAATTTAGCAGCTCTCTAAATGGGGCTTCAATCTCATATGTATAAATCACCAATTAATTGTTTTATTTAACGAGATATAAGTTCGATGTACTGGTAGACACTGTTAGCATATTTACTATATTTATCATTCATTCTTATCTGTCACCAAATATTTTAGTTTAAAAATTGAAACGATCAAAACTATAGTTGACAGTTCTTTTAAAAAGCTACAAAATCATATATTCTCTAAAGTAAAAAAAATCAGACCACTTAAAAAAAAATTCTAAGTAACCTAATCTCGAAGCACAATTCTCAGTCTTTTCAATAAATATTTAGAAGAGTTCGATTAGAAAAAGTTCAAATCGAGTCAAAATTAATATGATATTCGAAATCAACATAAAATTCTGAGTTGATCAAGATACGATTTAAAAATATCTGGAACTTTTTTTTTCGTTGAAAAATTTCTTCGTGGTCTCCCTCAGGTACCCGATGAAAAATAAATTCCATCAAAACACCATTTGTGTATTACAAATAAATCTTGAAAGTTGTTAAAAATTATTAGATAGCGAAATGAAAGATATCTAGTAAATAATAGCAGGATTTTCATTGAGTTCATTTTTTTGTCTGGTACCTGAGGGGGATCACGGGTAAGTTTTTCGACGAAAAAAAAAAAGTTCCAGAAATTCTTTGAAATACACTTTGACTAAATCAGAATTTTATGCCGACTCCGAATATCATATTAGTTTTAACTCAAATTGAACTTTTTCTAATTGAAATCTTCTAAATATTGATTAAAAGGACACAAAACTCAGCTTAAAGATTATTTATACTTAAAGATTTATTTCTACTTTGGAGAGTATATGATTTTGTAGCTTTTTAAAAGGACTATTAAATGAGACATATGGTTCAATGGGGTTAGTCAAGAAACGTAATAGTAGAGCATTTTGACCTCTTATGCGTCCTTCTCTTCCCTTTTGTAAATACATGAATATATATTATTTGCCCTTTTCTTTTGTTTAGGATGTAACTATTGACAATGTTGATCAATATCTCAATCTATCACTCCAATTTATTCTTCGTGATGGTATTCGACGTCAAATGAATGCATTCCGAAGTATATTTAAAAAAAAAATATTTGAATTTTTATTCTAAATTATATTTAATATATATATATATATTTCTAGATGGATTTAATCAAGTATTTTCTCTTGATCATTTACAATGTTTTAATCCACATGAATTACAATTAGTTCTTTGTGGTAATCAATGGCCATCATGGACATTAGATGATTTATTGACATATATTGAACCTAGTCATGGATTTACAAGAGAAAGGTTTTAATTATTGAAAAAAAAAGAAGCAAAATAAATTATTATTTATTTATTTTAGTGCTGGATTTACAAAATTTCTTAATGTAATGTTAGCACTCGATGGACTTGAACGTAAATCTGTTGTTCAATTTATTACTGGTTGTTCATCATTACCACCAGGAGGTTTGTTTATCTTTATTTTATAGTTATGTTCGATATTAAAATAATATCTTTAGGTCTTGCTAATCTTCGACCACGTTTATCCGTAGCACGTAAAGTTGAAGCCGATGATAATTCATATCCATCCGTAAATACTTGTTATCATTATCTCAAATTAGCGGATTATTCAAGCGAAGAAATTCTTAAACTTCGTTTAATGACAGCATGTAAAGAACGAGGTTTTTATTTCAATTGAACGAACTATTTATATTATGTTTTCTTTTTTTCATTCTAATGATTTAGCTTTTGTAAAAAAATTTTTCATGTTAATTAGTCTTTTTTCGTCTCTCACATATTTATAAAAAACGACAAACAAAAAAAAATAAGGCAAAATTATTGGAATATTTTCCAATATATTTGTGTAAAAATGAAAACAAAATAAAACTAATCAGGATTCTATACTATAACGAATGACTTTGTTTCTACCAATATTTGATTATGCATATACAAGAATGTCCAGAAAGGGTGCTAGAGCAATTCGTCGCATGACACATTAGTCTTAGAGTATGGTAACAAAATATTTAAAATGGATGAGAGTACACAAAAAGAAATCGTTACACACATCCAAGATTTCTGTTCTTGCTGCGTGTTAACCAATTTATTCAATTTTTATTGAATTTACTTTCGTTGGATTCAATGAGCAAAAGACACGGATTTTTTGTGGATTTTAATCGAAAGTAATACGAAAACAGTTAGAGACGTTTAAAGAGAAAAAAATGTTTAGAAAATTCGAAACGTCAAACTTAAGACAGAATTTTACTTTTCTTTTTCTTATAAATAGTTAGATAGAACGTGACGAGCTGGTCAAGAATGTCAAGGTTTTTATGATTTTTGAAATGAGCTTTTAGGGGAAAATATTCAGTTTTTTTTCCAATGAAATTACTTTTTCTGAAAAACAAGTCAATTCTCGATAATAGAAAAACCGTTAATTTTGTTTTTTTCTTTCAAATTTCACAGATGCTTGTCTCAGATTCAGCGTGAAAAACTGAATCAATGAAGGCGATTTAATTACCTTCATCGATACCATTTTTCACGCTAAATCGAAAGCAAATATCTGTGAAATTTGAAGAAAAAAAGAAAACTTGATAATTTGTTTGTTATAGAGCATTGACTTCTTCTTCAGAAAAAGTAGGTAACTAAAAAGAAAGTGCAGTTTTTCACTTGAAAACTAATTCCAAAAATGAAAATACATAGATTCTTGATTAGCTCGTCACACTCTATCTAACAATATATAAGAAAAAGAAAATTTCTTTTTTTCATTTCCAAAAACTTATATGTTCTCTTTCTAATAAAAATTTTTCAAAATTTCACTCAAAATTGATAGTTTTCAACATTACTCTTCTGAATTTCTCTCGTAAGAATAAAAGATTGAATCTTTCTTCAATCGCCAGACTCGGTATAATATTATCTAAATTTTTAAAGAAAAAGTAATTTAAATTTTTCAAAATATTGGAAGATAATATTTGATTTTCAACAAATTTATAGCATGGAAGTTATTATCAAATAAAGACAAGGTGAAATATCTATTGTTAGAAAATTCTCTTTCATTTATTTTCTTGATTTTACTTATTGATGTATTCTATAATTTATTTAATGATGATGCTNAGATAAAACCTCTTTTGCGCAAGGGGGTCTATAATTATGGTACAGTCATTTTTCAGTTTTCTCAAGCTTTTTCTTCCAATAACAAGAGACGAAAGGGAGAGATGGTGGTGCCAGGTAGTGCGTGGGTGCTCCCATGTACACATATCATTAGTAGATCAATATCGTTTATCATGGAAATAAAATAAACATTTTTGTCTGTTTATACAAGGGGAGGCCTATAATTTTGGCAACCCCTGTATTTGCATTGTAAACATTTGGGTTTATGGGTGTTTTTTTCTTGTTGCTCTTTTCATTACACCTTGAAACATTAGTTGAAAGGCTTCTATTTCCAACAGATATGTTAAGCATAAAAGATTGCGGTATGTTCTAATCAGAGTTGAGATTGATCTTTGAGCTTTAATAAGATTCGTAAACTGAACATAGCAGATGCTAGTGAGATATAAAGCTTTTTATGGACATTTGTAGAATGAGTTATATTAGTTCTCTAAACTAAATAACTAATGACTCAAAAATTCTGTATTAATTTTGTTTTTTATATAGTATTGCAATGTAATACCATGATACCTTCGTCCGTTGTTTTTCTTTTTTGAAAAGAATAAAATATCTACTGCAAAAGTATATAACAAAATTTGATTGATAATGTCTCCTGAAGGCCACAAAAATCTTAGAACAAAAACTATCAGAAAACTCTTTCAAGACTCTTGAATTTTTAGAAAAAAAATTATTTAATAGGAAAGATTATCTTTTGATTCGTCTATTCCGAGTTTTATAACGTATGGACAAGGTAGGTCGCTGTCAAAAACTATATACTTTACATGAAAAATGAACCTTATCGAGTTCTCTAATAAACGATATTAATTGAAATAGAATTCTACTTTTTTGTGAGACTTTCAAACAAAACTTTGTTTTCACCTTTGAACGTCATATTGCATTTTTGACTAAACTACCTGTTGTACAATCGCTTGCACGGTAGATCATATGGTAATGAACAGGTGTATATATATATGATGTTAGGAAATATCGAAAGTATATAAAAACAAATAAGTCAGAGAAGTATATTTCGATAAAAAAAACCGTGAACAAAGTTGTGGAAGAGTTTCTTGACGCTATTTGTTCCAAGATATGTGCAGCTTTTGAAAGATATTTTCGATGAAGTATCTTTACACTAGACATATTTATCTTTGTAAGACAAGAGAATGAAATCTTTATGATATATTTACTGGACTATAAAAGACTAGAAAAAGAATAAATTTTTGCCACTACTTTTAATAGTATGACCAAGATAGATGAGGATCGTTGAAAACCGATGAAAATCTCTCAATACGAATTTTTCTCATATATGTCGAGTAATTGCCAAAAAATGAAGAAGTTCGTTAACAACACTTGGAATTTTAAGTAGAAAGAATTTTATCCGCACGTCATAGTATATGATTAAAATTCAAAGTTCAATAAATCTCAACTACATAAATTTAATAATGTGTTTTATGCTATATATTCATAATGTGATCTCATCTGCACCAAATGGATTCTCTAAAACACAATTTAGAATCTGTTCGAAGTAATTTCGATAGAAAATAAGATAAGAACTAAATTAATATGTAGTAAATACATATTTACTTTGACTTTATTTGTGAAATATTATACATGTTATAATCTTACGTGACACATCAATACTATTCTTTCTTTTCTCGTCAACCAGAAGTTGTCTAGCGACGATATTTTCAATGATAAAAATCTCGTGTGACATTTAGTGAGTCAATCAAATTTTTAAGTTTTGTGTCATAGTTTCAATTAATAAGAAAAAATACAATTTTTTCATCGTATTTTTACGGGTTTATCTCCCATGCACTGGCTTCCATTCTATAGTACTCAGATTGTTTTTAGATGGATTGTTTAATCTTAGGACTGTTTTTAATTTCTCAAAACACAAAACCAAACAATGACTGTACATCTGAGATTCAGAAAAACTTATACAAAAAAAAAACATCGTGATTGAAAAGAAAAAGAAACCGATCTTATAGATCTTATCTACTTAGTCTCTTAAGATTTATCTAAGATTAACCTTTTATTTATTTTCATATAGTAGTGAGGACTTATTAGAGGAACCTAATCTGAGAAAGAAAACATAAAGGTTTATTGAGAACAATTCAGTATATTACTACCCATTTTTTCTTGTTTATTTTAATGACATTTAATCGTTGTGTCTTTCGCGCATATACGCAAACATTACGTGCTGAAATGCATTATGATGTCTTCATGTATAACATAGACATGTGTCAATATTCTTTCTATTTGTTGAATTGTTATAAATCAAACATACAGACACATACATATATATGTAAATGTATCACTGAATGTAAATAAAAACTAAACTAAAAAAATAAGAATAATTGAACAAAATAAAAAGAAAAACGGTATGTCTGTGCATTCGAGCTAAGTATAAGAACTGGCAGAAGTCACCAATCGATCAATCTATTAGGAAAAAAACAGTTAAATTATTTTCATTATTTGATTATATATACCTTTGAAATACCTCGATGAATAAACAAATCAAGAACATGTAATTCTTCTTTTGTTTCTTGTAAATCACGTTTATACGTTTGCCATTCATCTTTATTTGGCATAAATTGTTTTCGATTTTTAATAGAAGACGAATCAGCATTAAGCGATGTTTCAATAACCTAATAATATTTCATCATATATAGTACTTACGAAACATAAAAAAAAACACAGTATTTATTTAATACTTCTTTAACAAGTGGTCGCTCGATACTTTGTTGAGCGTCAATGACAGATAATTGGCGTCTCTGTAAATTTTCTATTATTTGTTCAAGTTCAATTATAACCCATTCAAATCGATCAAGAATTTGTCTTCGTACATTAAGTAAATTTTGATCATCATAGAATTCATCTGATTGTGTATATTGATTAAATAAATGTAAACGATGCTGACTTACAGCAGTAATGTATGTTTTTAATATTTTTAATACTTTCTAAGAAATACAAAATAAATTTACACAAATTACAAAATGTCAAGTATTATTTTACGGAACGAGTCTGTTCGTTGGATGAATCGGTTTGAACATATTTACTATCAAATTGAAAAGTCGTCTAAAATAATGAAAAATTAAAAAAACAACGAATTTTTTTTAACTTACCATTTAATAAAATTTATTATTTTTATCAATTATTATCACATAAAATTTTCGATTATGTTTTGATCAAAGGCGAAAAGAAATGTCATTCAAAGACACGTGTTTCTTTTGATGTATAGATATTCTTATGCTCACCTTTTTTTTCTTTTCTTGTTCAACACACAGAATTGCTTTTTGCGTACGAAAGCTTATACAGACATATGAGTTGTCAAATGACAGAGTGGCTTTGACAAAAAAAAAAACAGAACATAGAATAACAAGTAGATTATGGTTACTGTTCTGTTAATGATATGTTTGCATGTTGATGCTTATCAAAATATAATTTACCTGAAAGCTAGACAAGGTCGATACCAGCATCGATTCCAGTTTCTTTTTTTTTTTCGTTCGATATATAAACATAATGAAGCTTTTTATCAATAAATCTGATGTTTTGTACCATATTTATGCTTGTATTTTTCGTTAGATGTGTTTACAATCAATGATTTCTTATCGATTTTAAATATACACTTGGATTCTTTTTTTTCGATATTATACTTAAGAGTAAATTTGAAATTTTTGTGTATTTAAGTTTTATTTATAACTTAAACTGTAGTGACTGCTATTAAAACATATATTCATTTTAGACAATGTATTATATTTGTTTAATCGATTTTTACATGCCAATAAAAATCAAGGGTAAACAGAACAAATAAAAATAAATATAAGAATAATGACTATATAATATTAGAAAAAAATTAGTCGATAAAACAAAACCTTGTTCAATTATCATTTGACTCAGGTTGTATCGAAGATTATTCTAAAACAAAAGTATGGAAATAATTAAAGATATGGTTACCGTGTCTTCTGTATTTTCTTATTTAAGGGTATCCCCTCTCCCTCTCCTGGGTTTCTCGAGAATGACTCATCAGAAAAGTTTGAAATTTTCAGGGCAGATAGATCTTGATAAGTGCAGAAAAAGTTGTCATAAACTCAAAATTTTCTGATGCTCCCAGGCAGACAAAACTTTCGAAAAACGCGTTTAAACGCACAATCGGGAACCGCGACTGTGATCCATTCACGCTCATTAAAAAAACGCAAGAAACGACGTTTTTTGTANTTTGATCAAGAACTTCGTAATATATCCACCAACATTGAAATGGTAATGTACAAAATAAATGAACAAGACAAACAAGTATTAATGTTACTGTTATTGATGATGTTAATTCAACAATACCACGTTGACATAAACGATAAATAACAGTTGAATTTAATAATAATACAAATATAAACGGTAATATATAATTAATTATAACAGAAAACATACCCATAGAATCATAAAGACTATCATCAATGAGATTACATTTCCAATATTGCATTATTGTACGATTATCAGAAGTCAATAAAATATTGTCAGTATGATTTTTTAATGATAAATTTTGTATTCGTATTGTTTTAACAACAAATATAAACCATGTTGATAAAATTGTTGATAAAAATACAATAATAAGAACAAGTATAAATGTTTTTCGATGTGTAAATATTTTTTTATTATTATGTGGTAACCAAACAGCACAGAAACGTTCAAACGCTATAAAAACCATTAACCAACTTGAACAACTTGTAAAAGTTAAATCAAAAAAACCTAAATAACATAAAACATGATTAAAAATAAAACAAAACATAAACAAACCATGAGTACGACACCAAAATGGTGAAAGATCAGTTAATTCTTGTCTTAGTAGTTTTTCAAGCCATATAATTGAAACAGGTATAAGAAGAACAAACGAATCAGCTATAGCTAATGCAATTGTTACTATAGATACTGGTTGTCGTTTAAGATCTGTTAATATAAACACACAAACAGTAAAAATATTTCCAATTAATCCAATACAAATAATAAATGGTGTTAATACAAGATACAGTTTATGTGCTAGTGTATCATAAAGCACTTCATGCTCTGTTAATGCACATGATGTTGTCATTGTAGTTTTATTGAATATAATTTTTTCCTTTTTGTCTAGAACTAAATAAGAAAAGCGTAAAATAATGCAAATTGATGTATTTTTAGATGACAAACAAAGATGAGAAAATGTCATTTACTCAAGAAAAGCTTGATCGATTAATTCAAAATAATGATTGTCATCGCTATATATAGTTTATAACTGAAATTTATTAGCAAATCGTTAGAAACTCTTTCGGACACATTTTTACAAGAAAAAAGTAACGCATTTAAATATCTGTTAATTGAAATCAAAGAGTTTTTATTCTATGGAATAATATAACACTAATGGAAGTATTCTTTTTTTTTTTTTACATAATAAGAAATGAACATATGTGTGAAGTTCTTTGATTATTTCTATTAGTACAGATTTTGACTGCTGATTACCTGCTTGTGAGTACTCAATCGTATTCATTTATAACAAGGAAATTTGTTGTCAAATCAAGTGTGTTCTATTCTATGAATGGATAGAATATGTCTATAAAAAGCAAAAAAAAATGTATAGAATTCATGCTAAATCTTTTTTATTGCCTATAAGAAATATATATAGTACGAAATATACATTCAATGAAAATTGATGAATATAAAACAATAAATAAAGCGACAATATCATCATAGAAAAACCTTCTTAGTCTTAACACTTTTCTTGATTGAGTTTTCTTTTTCTTCTCGTTCTTTTTCTTGTTCTTCATCTTGTTTCTTCATAGAATATTGATCAAAAAAGATTTCAAGAAAAAAA